AGCAACAATAAGATTAACACAAAAGTCTTCATTTTACTTACATTTCAATACCTATTCATTGTGTTGAGGACTCAGCCGAAGCCAAAACAGATGTTTTAGAATCAGGCTAAACAGGAAGCTCAAAGATTAGGAGGTCTACATTACCCCCATGGTGGCAGGAAATAAAAGGGGGTGACATCAATGGAAACTGGGAGATTAAGAAGTTCTGATTTCTGAAAAGATTACCTCAAAGGCAGTTATTTCTACTTTATGATTCCGAGTAGCCCTCTCGAGGATAGATAAAGGGAAAAGGGAACCGGGTGGGATGTGGGTCATTTATTTACACACAAACATCAGAAAACAGAATATAACTATTCTTCCCAACTCTCTCCCAAACCTGGCTTCTTCCTAAGAGCCACAATCTTAGCAACTGTGATTAAAAGCCTTCGTCTGATGTATGAAAATAACAGAGATGTATTTGAAAGCACAGTGTAAATGTTATATTTCTGCGCAAATATAAGGTATTATTGGTATATTTTAAAAGACAATACGTGAGGTACTTTTAGAAAAACAGAAAGCTTTTTAAGTGTTAAAGAAATTGTAAGAGGAAGGATGATCATATTTGTGAGGACACTGAGCAATCTGCTTCAGGATTAGTCCTCAGCTTTCAAAACAAAGGAGTATATATTGAAACAATAGGTATATAGCATTAGTTGATTTAATGAGATTTTCTATCTTTAGAAATTAATTTATATGAATATATATTAACCATGATCATACATTTTAATAAATTAATTTCTGATGTTAAAATGTTTTGCCTTAATATTTAAATTACTTCTTTATTTATGTATATAGTAATATCTATTCTGCTGAAAGGGAAACAAAACCCACTAGATTGATTTGGCATCCTCTTGCAAGTGTACCTTACTTTAATTTTCCAAGTAATTTAAATTAAAGTCAGTTTGGACATAGTAGGTTGCCATAATATGCTGATTGCAATTGGATAACTGGTGATTGTTTCTCAAACTGTCTTTCCTGGTGGATCAGAAAAGGAAGCAATTGATTTTCTGTTGCCTTTGCTACTTGGTAACAATTGGAAAATAAGCGGGAAGCTAATGAAGTTACAGACGCTTTAAACTTGTCATTCTGAGCATTTGCTGAAGAGAGCGAACAGCTCAGAGGAGCAAATCTTGCATTTATAATGGCTATTCTCTTGAAAAGTATATACATAAACACTTGATTAGTTAAGAGCTACATGCTGACCTTTCTTTGTACTACGTAAACTATAGAAACATTAATAATACAACTTCCGGAAAGAATCTGTTTTGTATATTTCATCTTCTCATTATGTCTCAAGGAACTATGATAACTGAGTCTGATAAAATATCTAGAAAAATTAATGCACAATGTTAGCAGGAAAATGGAAAACAGAACAGTGGAACAGAATTAAGAGGTAAGACAGACACAAATTTATGTTAAAGTTACATGTACAATAAAGATGCTATTTGAAACCAGGAGGGAAAGAAACAGAAGTTTGCTTGAGACATGAGTCCATTTGATATCCATTTGCAGAAAACAAAAGTAAATTAAATAAAGGTTGATCTGTAACTTACACTACTTATAAAAATAAAATTTAAGATGCATTAAAGACTTAATCCAAAGAAAAAATAAAACAAACTATGTAAGTACAATGTTTAGGATCTTGAGCTAGGAATGGCTTCCTTGACAGGAAAGAACAACAATTTTTAAAAGGAAATCATGTAAATTTGACTGTACTAAATTTGTTCATCTGGCAAATGACAGCACAAACTTCAGTATCAAGTATAAAATTATAGGATAATGTTTGCAAAGTATACCTCAGACATAGGATTAATATCAATAATGTGCCGATTTATTACTATAAATCATAAAAAATAAAACAATCAAATTGAAAGGTGGACAAAATTCACGAGAAGCAATCCACAGAACTATGGCTGTAGCTGATGCTAGATGTGAGGTAAATTTTATGCAGATGGAAATGAGACAGTAGATAGAAAGCATATTGATTCAATAAAGAAAGAGGAGTCTTGCCGGGACAAAGCGCTTGACTCGGTAGAGAAGGGATATAGTTCACCAGTGGAGACTTTGGCCTTGTCTAGGTATATCGATAGTCCAGAGATTCTAGAGCACGTAGACATGGGTAAAGGTAAGTGGGTAGATATGGTGGTAGAAACTTGTATTTTCTTCTGATTGCTTTATCATTTTTTTTTCAGTGAAATGGAATATAGTATCATTAGGTGAAGGTGATCGTGGAAAAGGAGGTCTTGGAAATGTGCAGAGAAAGAATTATAAACTAGTCCCCGAGGAGAGACTGGACAGGGAAATATAGCATGACTGCTGAACAGCATTAGGATCACATGAGGTGAGTGACAATAAATGTAAGTGGGACTAAATACCATGTGTCTGGTTTGCTCCAGCTATATTTAACTATATGTGTGCCATTAAGGACTAAGCAGAAAACTGGATTTAATCAGCTGTAGTCTGTCCAAGAAGGTATGACTTAGTAAGAGAAGGGCAAGAGATTTGAGGATCTACCAAGAAAGGAGTAATAATGACTGAGCAGGAAATTTAAGTTAACAAATGAAATGAGGACAAGAGGGACAGGAGAGATAAAAAAAAATTATAAAATTTATCAATTGAAGGTACACTGGTGGTTGGCTTGAAGAAGTAAGTTGAAAGATGGCAGATGGTAATTGAAGGGTGGGAGCTTTGAACTGGGATTCTGAAGAGGTTATATTTACTGGCAGTAACAAATTCTATGGCCATTAGTTTATGGTTAAGATATGATGGAAGACAATCACTGGATAAAAGGAAAGTCAAGGATTGATAGTTAAATATTTGAATGGTCATCAAAACAGATACTGGAACCAGCTATCAGGTAAAATTGTAACAGGAGTCATATAACAGAAAATGTCAATGAACCAGGTGCTAACAGATTAGTAAAATAACAGGCAAGAGCTTAAGGAGCCGTGGATGGTTTCAACAAAGAGTGATGGGTATTATACCCTAATGACATGAGATGCAAAATAGCAGCATACTTTAAGGAAGAGAGGAGAATATTAGAATGGACTTTAAGGTGCTGAATGTCTATTATACACATATGAACGGAGACAAATGCTTTTGAATCTGGAGACAAGTACAGAGCTCCACTGGAGAAAAAGTGTAGTCATGTAAAATTTTTTTGGTGCACTACAACCTTATAAATAGCTTTCCTAAATGTTATGAAATGTAAAGTCCTAATCTAGACCTATGTTTTCAAGCAATGTTTGAAAGAGTAAAATTCTGAATGAAAAGCTATGCAAAGAGTAATTTAAACCCTGTCATAGTGGTATCTGAATTAGAGATTAGGGAGCATAGATACAGAAGTTACAAATCCAAACCACAGAAGACGAGGGAGGGTAGGGTCCTGACTCAAGTCTGCTTACCTATTTCAACCCATGGACTAGGGATAATTTATTCCTTGGGATCATTTCTGAGTCTGGAAGACATTCTAATGTAAGGAGACTAATTCCACTTGAAACTTATGAAAATTAATCTTTTTTCTTAACTAGTTACAAACACCAAATATATTTCTTGCAGTGTGTGTGTAAGGATTGTTACTCAGATCTCATTCCTAGATTCTGCCCAGAGTTTCTATTTTACCTTTGCCACAAAATAATGTACCTGAGTTCCAGCTCATTGGTCTTTATTCCCTTAGCCTAATGCTCTAGGTTCTGCTACCCCATCCCTTAGATGCTGGATTTAATGACCCTAGACTATGTCCTCATGACTCCAATAACATTTTTTATTTGTCCTCTGATCCCCCTAATGCATACATAGTGCTTCTGAGAAACACTTTATCTGTCTTCTCTTTTCACATATTTAACCCAACTCATAGCCTCTAGCTCTCCTGGTGAGCAGTGACCTCTGTTGTTTTACTAGTCAAGTCTCCAAATAATATGAAGCAATAAAGTTTTCTATGGTTTTCAAAGATATATTGATACCTCCCACTTGGGCACACAGAGAATTGAGTTTTCTAAAATGAGGTTATTTAACCTAATAAATGTAGATTGTTTATGGATGTGCTGACCACCGTGAAGAACAAAGATGAGTTTCATGTGGATAACTGGTGGAGTGGAAGCAGCTACAGGAACAATGTACCTGATGATATTGATTATTTGGATAACTGAACAAACTCTTATTCAATCCTCCCTATATGCTTCGAGGAATATAATATATGTGTTTGAGAGCAGAAGTACATGCCAGAGGTTCATTTCTAAAGGTACTATATACTGTGTTTCAAGTTTTGCCTAGTAGAGTCTCATATTCTTTTGACTGGAAATCATATTGAGCTCCCTTGAAGTGGGTAAACAGTACAAAGGGAAAATGTCATACTACTTAAGGAAGATCAGAACTCTTGGAGGAGAAATCACTCTCCCTAAATTGAATGTGGCCCCCCAAAAAAACTTCTTTAATTTTATTTCTGCCATTAATAACGACCTGAATTGAATTGAAACTAATTCTACCCTGTGACTTTGATTTCTTCTCCCTTTCATTCACCTTTTCCCGCCTTTTTCAAATGGCCCCTACCTAGATGAGGATTTTTGCATAACTAATTAAAAACAGTAATTCTGGAAAACAAATTCAATTACTCTCTACACTGAAAAATGGGTATACACATAACTCCCACATGTATATCTACCTGTAAATTCTCTTCAACAGCCTAACTGCTCACACTCAGAGAGCCAACACTGATCAGTTCAGCATATCCTGTTACTGACCAGTCTAGATCTACTGCTGACTCTAATGATATTCCCATCTGCCATGCTTGTTGTACTTAAATAGCTGCTCATATTCAGAACAGCACTCTGACTTCTTTAGTGTTCATCACTCTATTGGTTTAATTCTTTCCCTGAGCATTTATAGGTTCTAATTACTATGGGATCCAACCCAAGATTGTTGCCAACTCCACTGTACTTCAATATCTATCCATTCTTGTTTGAAATAAGATGCTATCACATGTTCCATCCCTAATAGGGTGGCTATCCCACTTGAAAGAGCAGGCTGCTTCACAGAGTAGAGGGGAAAGAACATACTTAGTGGTAGAAATGTCAGATGAACACTCTGTCTTCTTTCTGGCCTTGAAGCAGATAATTGCAGATGAGTTAAAAAATGAAATGTTCCAGACAACGTCAGTCAGGATTTATCTGCAGAGAACAGAAGCCACTGAAGATAAAGTGAGAATGGAACTTTTTTTTTATAGCAAATTCAATGGCTCATAGTCTCTTTGATTTTACAAACAGAATGCAATCTGAGTGCGGTAGATTGGATTATTGTTGCCAGCTCTGCTCCATGTTATAGGGTTGTACACTCAAGCTCTCTGCCATGTGACAGTGAAGTGTCTACCAGTAGAACAGGTAGAATAGATGTCTCCATCCATGTCACCATCTCATCCACTTTGACCAGGTGAATGTGCAACTACGCCAGTTCTGAGAAGATACTTTAAGAATAATCTTTCGTTTCCACTCACTCTCTCATGTACCTGCCATCCACCATGAGAAGAGTGTGGTCTAGCAAGCTGCTGCTACTTCAGCCTGGACCTCAGAATGATAAACCTATGAAGTATAACTGAGCCTGACCTGTAGCCTGAAATAGAGCTGCCACAGCCAACTCACAAACGCATGAGAAAGAAAGGTTGTAGACAACTGAAATTTAGAGCAAAAGTTGACTCATCAATTGTAGTTCTCAGAATGGATCTGAAAGTCACACTACAGAACCAAGTCATCAAGGGAAAGCGCCTGGAATCTACCACATAACATTTTCACTATACCCTGTTGACCAGAATTTATTTACATGTCAACGATCAGCTGCAAGGGATCGTTCTGGGAGGTCATTTGCCCTGTTCATTTCATAATGCTGTAAAAGAAGAGAATGATCCTAAACATCAACTAGTTACAATTCAGTGAGAGATTACATTTAAAATTAGTTAAGATAGATGTATTTTTTAAAAGGCAAAGCACATGAATGACAAACTGAAAAGAACTATGGTCAACAGGTTTTAACAGTGATGAAAGAAATACAGTACAATGTAAATAGGGTATCATTGGTTTGAAATATATATCTAGATCTAGTTCTAAACATATCACCCCAGATTGGGGATAATAAAATTATGAATGATCGTCTGTATAAATACAGATCACATTAAAAAAGATGAAAAGGACATTTGCAAAAAAAATCTTTAAAATGAAACACTGCCAGTGGAATGGTATTTAATTGAATAAAAAAATACCTTATTTAGTGCAGTTTGGCAATATATGTCACAACTATTCAGAGCCTTAACCTAGTAGTTACATTTCTAGGAATTTGTCTTAGATGAATTATGAGAATTATGAATATGAGTTCTTATAAAAGAAGCTTAATACAAGGCAAATTGTAACACTGAATATTTTGTAACACCACTAAATGTCCAACAAGACTGGGAGAACAAGTTATCCTTTATTCATTCCATTGAATATTATCAGGAGTTGGCAAAATAAAGTTATAAAGAAATGCATGTTTTGTAAACCATAATACCAGTATTTGAATCACTACTCTAGTACTTATTAGCAGTATGATCAGCAGCAAGTTAGTTATTCTTTTAAAGACTTAGTTTTCTTATATCTAAAATAAAGATATTACCCACCTCAAATTCGTACTGTGCAGATTATTGAGATGTGCCTGAAAATTAGTTAGACTAGAACCTGGCCTTGAGTAGACTGTGGCTATTATTATCACTATGTAACTATTAACATCAAAATATAGGAAATATTTTGTGACATGGAAAGTGTGCAAAGCCCATGTTATGAATCAGTACATGTAGTACGATTCCAGTTTGGAGGGAAATACACAGAAAAAAATGCAAAGAAAAAAAGAGAAGATGGAAATGAAATGGTTTGTATTTCTGTAACTTTATTCTTGCTCTATGTGTGTGATTTTGTTAGTTTTCCAAGATGACTATTTGTTTATTTCATTGTAGAAAAAGTATAATTTATTAGTGCCAGTAAACAGGTTATATAGGTAGTGACCTAGACAATAATTTTGCTCTTGTGTATATTTTTAATTACATTTTGTCATCAAACAGATCAAAATAATATGTAAGAATCTTTAAAACAATAGGGGAAACATCTTATTCATGAAGAAGAGATTCAAGGAGCAAGAACTTTTCTGTTTATAAAGATTCTACATTTACAACTCCATATACCCTGTTAAGATACTGACTAAAGAATGGACAAAGCAAAAACTAATACTCCAAAGGGACTCGAGAATGACAAGGCAAAGTTTGCAGAAGGGAAATTAAAAGCAGAAAAGAGGAAAATATACCTCGGTACATCATGATGCCAAACTTATTTGGAGAGAGCTAGCTCAACGTGGTTAATCTAGTGAAACTAAGCAAGGTGAAAAATGCCACAATCACGTGGAGGATGGCCTGAGATGTCAGGCAGACTCTGCTCATTATTCATGGCAACAAGTCAGCTCACTCACATTGCCGCTCAGCTCATGAAGGCAGTAAAAACCTCCCTGCCTTGTCACACACACACACTTACCACACACACACATACTCAAATTCTTACTCTTTTATTCATGGTTCTAAACTAGGCTTTTATAAACCTATCAAATATGAACCTTACACCTTTTCCATGTTTACCCCTTTTCCATGTTTACCCCTCTCACGAGTAGAATGGGCGTTCTCTGCTCAATATGGAAGGCACTTAACACATTCTCAGTGCTTATGCTGTTTCCTGGAACTTCTGGTTCCAGGAAAACTAGGTAAAGATCAGAACAATTAAGCACTTTATTCTTTGAAGGAACACCAAGTCCATGGAATGGGAGACAGACTCAATGGGTTATTATAAAATTCTATGTTTCTTCCTCTGAAAATAGCCAATATGAATTTGCTTTCCAATATTTAACGCTATATTCACTTTTGCTTTTCTCTAATACCATTTTTTCTCTAATACCATTTTTAATTCTTCTTTTCTCTTTTTCCCCTGGATTCCACTTAACTGGTAGAATTAATCCCTTTTTATTTTCTGCCTTTCAGGTCATATTTGGAGCAAGTCGAACACATATAATCACTAGGCTAGCATTGTGAATGTGGTGAAATGTTTTTCTTCCAGAAGGCAGATTTTAATTATGATTCTATTTAAAGGGTATCAGTAACATGGTAAAAATGTACATTCACTATTCTTCTCTAAAATAATAGGGACTTTATGATTTTTTTTGCTTAAATCTGTTTTATTATTTCCTTTGAAAGATGTGTTAAAAATATTCAAATGCTACTGATAACCCCTGCCCAAAATAATTATATCACTTTGCTGAAAATTACTATTAATATTTAATCCACAGTAGATAAGTTACTATGATTATGACTAAATCTCATTTTTTAAAATTCGTAACTTCCACTCACCAGGCTCACATGAACAACAGTGCTATATGCACCCTCCAAGATGGGCTTATCAAGCATTGAATCAAAGCCTTCCTTCTTCCTTCCAAATTAACTGAATTCAATACTACCAGAGACTGGAAATAATAGATTTCAACTAAAGCTAAAAATGTCAGTTTCTCTGCTAATAATCATTTGCATGCTGTGTTATTGAAAGCAGTACCCACAGTATACTAAAAGCAATACCACCTTCACATGTGGCCACTCTATCAGTACAGAGACTTCTGACCATGATTTAATAGCAATTATGACAATAGTTAACTAATGTAGAACCAAGAACTCTTCTAAGCAACCGTCAACCTTGTTTAATTCCTCCCACTACCCTGTGAGTAGGCAATACTGTTATCTTCATTATACAGACAAGAAACAGACTCTAAATTGCCCAAGATCACCCACGTGATGATGGAGGGGATATATTAAATGCTTTCTCCTATATAATATCTATATACAAGCTTCTACATACTTTACATGCAACAGACAACCTTGAAGTGATAAGGAAAGAGAGAGAGGGCTAAATGTAGAGTGACCAACTGTTCTGCTTTGCCAAGGACTGAGGAGTTTCCTGAGATGTGCAACCTTCAGTGCTAAAACCAGGCAGGTCCTGGGCACACTGGGAAAAAGTGGTCATGCTAAAATAAACTAATAAATGTGAAGTCAGAAAAACAATGCTTGACTCATTGGAAGTACTGTATTAAGTGATTAATAATCAATCTGGAAAACAAATCTCAAAACTCTAAAGCAACATTTTTAGCTCACAGTTGTGTGGATCATTTAGGCTGGGCCCAGCTGGACAGTCCTGCTGGTCTCATCAGGGCTCACTCATGTGACTTGAAGTTACCTGGTCTTAATTCTATGTCTGGTGGTGGGTTCTGGCAATCCATTTGTGCTGGCTGTTGGCTGGGATGATAGGAGTGACGGGGAATCTATGTTCAGCAAGCTAGCTTGAGCCAGTTCAGGTCCACAGTCACAGGATGCCCCAAAGCAGTAACAGAATACTCAACAGTGTGTCACAGTTCTCTCAGAAAGTCTTAGTTCATTCTCCCACTCCCTAAAGACCTTTTCACAACTTAATACCTCTCATGAAATATCACTCTTTGTTCTGTCTCTCAGATGACGATCTTGTAACTAATCTATCTGAGAAAAATGGAAGCAATCAGAATAAAACCTCTCCTTCTTCTTATATCAAACTTCTCACTGTAATATTGGTGGAATATTGGACTTAATATTGGTAGAATGGATGGACCGTCTATGCATCTAATACCAATCACTTCTCTTACTGTACTGAAAGTACTCAACTCTTTCCTGTTAAAAACGTTTACTCCAGCCATGGATTGGAAAACTCAATATTGCTACTGGTGGGGAGGAAGAAAATTTCCTCTACTTTTCTAGATTCTTCTGACTGGTCTAAGAATTAACTTGATATGAGACAGATTAATACGAGAAAACCAAACAAAAATTTAATAATGTGTAGACACGAGAGGGACCCAGGAGAACTGAGTAACTCCTCAAAATGGCCCAAACCCTCACCTCAAATACCAACTTCAGCCAAAGATGAAAGAGGATGTTGAGGGTAAAGATTTGAGGCTTCAGAAAGGAGAAAGGCAGATCACATGGACATGGCCAAACAAATGTTTGGTAAACAAATGTTTATTGGGCTACGCAGAGACAATGGGACACAGAGTAGACTCTGATCTCCATGCCCCCCCTACAGAGTTTCCTTCACCCACACCTAGCCCATATTCTCTGCAGATATCTCAGGTGATGGCTGTATTCTAGGAACAGGCCCTTTGTCTAAAGTCTTCCAGGCAGTTAAGGGAGACTAGAAGTGCACTGTGCTTTGCCAAACTAGCATCAGTAGAACAATTCAGGGTAATTCTCACTAAAGAAATGAATTTCTTGTCTCATAAAATGGTGCCGGCACAATGGGGCAGTGCCACATACTTAATTAAGGTTCACAGAGACCCGCGTATAAATCTCAGCTGTTACTACCTTGCCATACACCTTTGGAAAAGAACCTTTAATCTTGTGGAAGCTCTATAGTCAAAAATGGGGATAATTACATTTAATTCATAAGGAGCTATGAGGCTCAAATTAAAAGATATGTGTCACAGAACATTGCACGTAGTGGACAAATGGATTTATAGAGATCATTTTATTATCTGTAATCATTCCATTCACCAACTGGCATAACCAACATATGTGGTTTAAAAATCAGTTTACCTCCTTAGAGATTTTCTGTTCAGGCACCCTTTATTCCAGGGAGAGATGTTTATCTATCTATCTATCTACGTATCTATCTATCCCTATATATTGAGTCTTCAGCTAAGAAATAATTTAAACAATGATCTTCAATATATTTAAAATATGAATATTTCTACTGCATATTACAATGTACATAGAGATTCCTCATATGAGGTGTTACTATCAAGTAAGATAGATTTCAAATAATAAAACAGATTTCTGCATGTAGTTGGGGAATTCATCTTATCATTTTAGGAAGATGGTTTGTATAACAGGGAGGTAATTCTCCTACTCTAAATCCTACTGGGGAACTATAAAGTAATTCTAATGTATTTTTTATAGTCTAAATATATGAAATTCTACATTCATAGATGCCTCAATTCTTAATTCTCTCATTTATGCAAGGGATTTGTGTGATAAAATTATAGCAGATTATATTTCCTAAATCAAAGCATCATAGGCTTGGAATTTATTTTAACAATTATCTATTCTGTATCAAGGAATCTTTGGGGATTAAGTCTGTTTAAAAGTTATACATGTTGTGGAAGGAAGTTGGCAAATGTATTTACTGCCATAAGACTCACTGATAGGCTCTATTTTACAAATAGTGAACTATTCACATGATTTCTCCCCTGCCTTCTCTATCCCAAAGTCCTCTATTCTGGGATTTCCAGAACAGTTCAGTGGCTGTCCAATAGCCAACTCTCCTGTATTAGACTGGATATTCTAGAAGAAGACCCTGACTCATGGAAAAGTGACCTGCTAGAAAGGATTTCTGGGAAACGAGTTAGGGGAGTGGGAAAGAAGCGCTGGGCTGGGGATGGGACAAGCAGGGACACAGTATCAAGCAAAGGCCCGTGGAAGATAATGTTGCCTAAATCCTACAGAGGAGCCTTAGCGACAGTGTTGATCACGCTTGAGAGCCATCTCTGGCACGACAGAAGGGAGCTG